GGCTGTTGTCGATGAAGTAGTCCTCGGCTTCGTCCTCGGCTTCGTCATTCGCTGAGTTGGTGTGGTCTTCGGGGTCGGCCATCTGGGTGTCCTCCATCGCGTTTTCGGTCTCGTTGGCGGTTATGGTGTTGCCGGTGATGGGGTCCACAGTGATGGGTACAGGGGCGTTGCTGGCGTCGATGAGGTCCATGGTGATGGTTCTTGATAGGTTGATGTGTCGTGGGTAGTACAATTGATTGATACGAGCTTGAGTGTTACCAAGATAGCTTGTGTCGATTGTCAAGCGGGAGTGTAGGATTGATCGAGGTACAGTTGTCGTGGACTTATATATGCAGACTGGCAAGGCGCTAATCAGGAAGTCGCAGTGAAGGAGCCTTGGTGGTGTGTATATGGTAGCGATACGCTGATCGTAAAGTCGTGGTGACCGGCTCCCTCACTGCGAAGGCGAGACAATGTCGTAGTTCCTCATTGTTACTCCTATTCCGTGGCCGAAATGCGCTCGTGAAGCTCATGTGGATAGCTCTGCTGTTATAGTTGCCTAGAGTTCGTCGTTTGCTCGTACACTGCTTCCGTGATCTTCATCACGTTGCTGGGCCTCCTGACGTCTTCATTTGAACATGGCTTGCATGCGCGCAAACGCTGACTTTCTTTGTTGCTGCGGTTGCTCCATCGCAAAACCTCCAGCTCCGTTGTTCCCGTGATTATTCACCATAGCGTTCGCGGGTAGTTCGATAGGATCGCAATTGTCGACCGTTGGCTATAACAGATCAGCTTCCCTTGTCCTAGCGCAATGTTTCCACCAAGAGCGGCACTCACTGCTGCCATATAGCCATCAATCTGCTGCGGTTGGGCAAATGCAGGCCTCCCTTCTCCTTGCAACTCCTGCGGTCCATTGTGTTTGTATTGGTCTCCATGCAGCTCCGTCGGTACATGCCCTTGTCCTACATACGATGGTGGCATGGTTCCGTTGCTTGGGGCGCCCGGTGGTGCAGTATACTGAACCCCGACGTACTGCGCGTTTTGTTCCTGCATCCTGCGCATAGCCCTTTCGCGCCTCCGCTGTGTACTACAAATCTTCATGAAAACGACTGTGCAGAAGATGCCCGTAACAAACATGATGACAAGAATTATGACCGCGACAGTGCCTTGCAGCGAAAGATTAGTGTTGCGACGTTGGATGGGCGCCATGTTGTCTGATTGCTAGTCGGGGTTGGAGATGCGGTTTTCGAATATGAGAGATGCGAGGGGATCAAACTCGCGAACATGTCATGGCGTCTGGGAGGCCTGAGGTGTACTTAACCTCACAGCATGGATGCGACAGGCCGCCTGAAACCCATGCGCGTCTGGGCACAAATTTGGTGCACCGCCATGGACGTGATAGCGGCGCAGCGCTGTTGGGGGCCAAAACGGGTACGCGAGGCTGACCTCTCGGTGCTGCCAAGGCTGAATTCTCCGAGACCGGCAGGTACGGCATGTCTCTACCGAGGAGGATGGGACCTGGCGTTGAAGAGATAGGAGAAGAGAGTCGATCAAATGAGGTCTTACATTTGGCGATAGGCCTGAGAGGTGTCCTGCTTCAGAACCAGTCCTGGTTATTGTGTAGCATGTATCACGTTGTTCAAGCCAAATACCGCCTCCTCCTGGTGGCACTCGGGACCACTCTTCGGAAACCCTCAGCGAGGACGAGAGACATGTCCAGCTTGGTGCTTATCTATCGGATCGTGAGGTTGTCGAGAGCTTGGTAGGGCTCCCGCGCTTGAGCCTCGCGGCGCTTGCATTAGCGTCGATTCAGTCGGTAGATGACGCGCAGTTCGAACCAAGACGAGATGACGTGTGACATCTGACCAGCGCGAAGAATTTGGTGAGCTTGGAAATCGAACGTCGCAAACTCTGAAGATCTTCTGTCGGACAAGATTCGCTATGCTGCAGCAAGGGTGAGCTGTACATGTACTCTGATCGCCAAGCTCGGCTGTGTCTCCCCTCGACCCATGGTTTTCGCGACTACGCGCCGACTCTGCCACAACACCCCACGCACTTCTGCATGTGCGCCCGCCTATCGTACAATCAACCTACCACACTACGCCGTGTCATCTCAAACGCGCATTGCTCTAAGAGGAGATCATCGTGCGACACATCACAACAGTCTCGACATACAGTCTGAGTATGCACTCGCAGCATAGACACATACGAAGACGTCAATATTACAAGAACCAAAATGGATGAGGACCTCCGTCTTCTCGAGGTATGCAACGGCGCAAGAGTAGAAAGTCGTGCGACGTCGCTAACGGGAATGCGACTTACAGCAGGAATACTGCCCCACGATAGACCCCACTCTTCTTTATACGATATACTCGGATTTCGCAGGAGAACCGAACGCAATCGATCTTACTAGGCAACTACTCGAACCCCTGAAGTTGACGGCCGACGCCGAAGCTCTCGATTTCGACCCCTCTGGCAGCAGCGGAGGCGCAGTTCAAGGCAGTCCAGACAAGCACAGTACCGATGTCGACTCCAATGCCGATTCGTGGACGACGCAAACGGTAGCGACGGGCCACTCGACGCTCTCGAACGAATTCTCTACACTCAGTGTCAACGGACGGTCGGGGGGCTCAGAAGGGTCCCTGGAGGATGGATACTACAAGGATATCGAGCAGTCAGACGTCTCCACAAAAGAACTGTTGCTTGCGGAAACCTTCCCAGGTCTGCGGCTCGCGCAGGTCACGTACACACTGAAGAAGTGTGGATACGATTACGATAAAGCGACGGATGAACTGTTGAACCAAGTCTTCTTCGATGATAGTAGGAAAAGCCCTACTGAAGAAGGACCAGTCGCGAAGGGTATTGATGCATTCTCAGAAGACCACCTCGTACCGCAGAAAGGCAAGAAAGCTAAGAGCAAGAAGAAGCAGAGGCTTTCCTTGGAGGCGGGTACTAGCTACCTCGTCGAATCGGATGCGCCAACCAATCGCTGGCAAAACACGAGTCGAGATGTAGACTTTATTACGTCGCGTACAGGCCTTCCAGCGAAGACGGTATCGTCGCTTTACCACGCGAACGGAACGTCTGTTTCGGCGACTGTGCTGGCCATTGTAAAGAAGGATATCGCAGCGCACAAGAAAGAGGGTGAGCCAGATGCTGCACTGGTACAGGATGCAATCACACTGAATGAGGGCTTTCCATCTATGGATCTGGAGCACGCCCTTGCCATAGTGCGACTTACTGCTCCTTCGACGATAAAAGCCCAGGAGTTAGCGAAATCCCTCACCCAACAACCTGCTAGCGAGACAGGTGGAAAGGGTGGTATCAAGCTCGACTTACGATATGCTCCTGTCGATCTATCTGACCCTTCCGAAGCTACGCGACTCCCTACTTTGACTCCTTCTGTTCGACCACGCGACGCGATGTCCACAGCTGCTGCACGAAACGACGCATTCGGGAAAGCATCAGGTGCCTACCGCAAGGGCAAGTCGACGCCACTCATGAGGCAAGCAGCCGCGTACTATGCACAAGAAGGTCGCGACCTCAACGCCAATCTGAAAGCGATGAACGCAGCCGAAGCCGACGCATTCGTTTCCACACAATCTGGTCCAACATACCTCGATCTCCATGGCGTTACTGTGGCCGACGCAACGAGAATCGCCAAACAACGAACACAAGCTTGGTGGAATGGTCTGGGCGAGCGCAGAATACCCGAGTGGAGCGGTGCTGGTCGCAGAGGTGGTGGCGAGGCATATAGGATCATCACAGGGTTGGGCCGACACAGCGAGGGCGGAAGGGGAAAGCTGGGACCTGCAGTCTTGAAGACGTTAGTCAACGAAGGATGGAAAGTAGAAGCAGAGCCTGGTGAGCTGTATGTCACAGGACTTGCAAGAAGGAGATAGTGAGCTTCGATGTTTAGACAAGATCTTGGTGTATATCAGGGATGTATGGCGCATAGGATGTTGGAGCATGTACAGCGACAGTACCATTGTGGAACGTATCACAGAGAAGAGATGCGATTGGATATCATCAAACACGGATTCAAGACATCCTGCCCTGAGTGTTCGCTCTTTCCGTCTTTCAAAGCCAAGGCTAGCGGCGCGCTAACGTTTTAAGCTTCTTCGGACCCCACCCACCGTCCATTGCCCCCATCTTAATCACTCACCTCAATCCAGGTCGCTCACGAAACCTCCGGGACCTGTCAAAGGCGCTCTCGTACATCCACTGTTCCAGTCGTAAGGCTGCACCCACGATCTGCCTTAGTTTCGAAACCCAAACACGCGTACTTAGCCGACACTTAACGCGCCAAGCTGTCGTTTCACGGGTGCTGCGACGGAACCAGCGACACCATCACTCGGAAGACGCGTCGACGATTAACCAAGAACAGAAATCGGGATATCATATGCTGTCACGTCTATCACGGCTCACTGACAGCGCGAGGAAGGCATCGCGATATGATTTGAATTAGGAATTTACATGGTCAAGCGCTTCCCCAGCGATTCCACGCGACGCCAAGGTACATTTCGTGCTTAAGCTACGAGTCGTCCACCGAACAAGCAATTATGTTTTGCGTATAGCATGCGGAACCAGCTACACGACCAGTGTTTCGCCTCCGCCCGTTGAAGTACCAAACGACACATGCCCGCGCGACAGCACAACAGCCTAAAGGCATGTGCGTCTTCGCGCACGCTATGCTACAGCGTATCTACCATGACGATCGACAAAACGTTCGAACAAAAGGCTAGAACGCACGCACCGTTTGATACGGGACATGCTCCACCCCATCGGGCCGTTCCCCATGGAGGGCATGATATATAGAGAAGGTCTTTCCATGCAGTATTACTATTCATCAGTTCGATACTCATCCAGCTTACTTAGTCTTCTTCTCTACTTCTATTCAATCATTCTTCCTTGTATATATCGCTGCTAGTCGGCTTTTATCTTACCTGTACATTCTCTACTTACATCACTGCCGGGCAGCTGATCTTTAATCCTCCTTCACATCTTTTCTATCCGCCAATATGAAGTTCGACTCCTCCATCCTTATCGCCTCCTTGGCGGCGACCGCTGTTGCGGCTCCGGCTCAGGAACCTTGCGATCACACTGCTATGGCTAAGCGATGGGTTGACACTACTGGTGGCCAGAGGATGCCTGCACACTACGTCGCTACTGTCCGCAAGCTCTCTTCCGAGAAGGTTAAGAACAAGCGTACACTTGACGCACTCCTCGGTGGCCTTGGCGGCGGAGCGGCAGGTGCTGGAGCTGGAGCTGGAGCTGGAGGCCTTGGTGCTCTTGGTGGACTCGGTGCTCTAGGAGGTGGTGCCGGTGGTGCTGGAGGCCTGAGTGCTTTGGCTGGTGGTGCTGGAGGTCTCGGCGCTCTCACCGGTGCTGGAGCTGGTGGCGCAGGAGCTGGAGCTGGAGCCGGCGGTCTCGGTGCCCTTGGTGGACTTGGTGCTCTAGGAGGTGGTGCAGGTGGCGCAGGAGGTGCAGGAGGTCTCGCTGCCCTTTTCCCTGGTCTCGCCAAGCGTCAACTTGATCAGCTCCTCGCTGGTTTGACTGGCGGTGCAGGTGGCGCAGGCGGCGCAAAGGGTGCGGCGGGTGCCGCTGGCGGTGCTGGTGGTATCGGCGACCTTCTCAGCGGTCTCGGTATCGGTGGTGGAGCTGCTGGCGGAAAGGCGGGCGGTGCTGCTACTACTACTCCCAAGGCACCTGCCACTAGTGCTACCGCTGGCGCTGCGAAGGGCCAGAAGGGTGCCGGTGCTGCTGGTGCTGGTACTCTTACCGTAAGTACTCTCTCGTCTTGGACTACATTCCCGAAGCTGACTTAATCCAGGGCGCTGCAAACAACGGCACTGCTGCGGCAGGAGGCGCTACCGCCGCTGGTACTGGCAAGGCTGGCAAGGGAGCTGGCAACTTGAACGGAGCTGCTGGTGCCGGAGCAAATGCTAACGGAGCTGCTGGCACTGGAGCCACTGCCAACGGAGCCACTGGAACTGGAGCTACCGGTACCGGAGCGACCGGTGCTGGCGCTGGCAAAGGAGCTGGTAATGGAGCAGCTGGTGCTGGAGCCACTGCCAACGGCGCTACTGGTACTGGAGCAACTGGTGCCGGAGCTGGCAGGGGACAAGGCAATGGAGCTGCCAACGGTCAACAGGGAGCCGGTAAGTGATATCAAGCACCAAAGTTACAGTTATAGACACTGACATATATCAGGCGCAGGCCGTGGTCAACAAGGTGCGGGAGCCGCCACTCCCCCAACTCCTCCTACCGCTGGTGGCGCGGGTACTGGAGCAGCTGGAGCTACTCCCCCTACTCCTCCCACTGCAGGTGGTGCCGCCCCCGGTCCTAACGGAGCTACTCCTCCTGCTCCTCTCACTTCTGGTGGCATTGCCGCTCCCCCTGCTCCCCTTGCTAATGGAGCTACTCCCCCTACTCCTCCCACTGCTGGCGGCGCGGGCACTGGAGCGACTCCCCCTACTCCCCCTACCGCTGGTGGCGCAGGTACTGGAGCTACTCCTCCCACCCCTCCCACTGCCGGTGGCGCTGCTCCCGCTGCTGGTGCAAACGGTCCTCTTGCCGGTGGAAACAGCCCCACTGCTGGCGGCGCCGCAGGAGCTGGCCTCACAGGAACTGGAGCTACAGGTGCTGGTGCCGCAGGCTCAGTCGGTTCAGCTACTGGAGCTGGCGCAGCGACTGGAAACGGTGCCTCTGGCGCTCTTACTGGCGCTACTGGTGCTACTGGTTCTTCCAGTTCTACCGGTGCTTCTACCGGTGCGTCTGGATCTACTAGCACATCTGGAACCAAGGGCACAGGTGCAAATAGCGCTTCCAACGGCGCCTCCGCCGCATCTGCATCTGGTAACGGAAAGGCCTCAGGTGGCAAGGGCGCCTCGTCTGGCAACGCCGACTCTGCTCTCGCTGACTCTCAGGAGGAGGACTAGATCGCTCCAGCGACCATCTAGCACATGTATGATGGCGACGGAGTATGGATGAATGGATGAGTAGATGAACAGTCAGTATGGCAAGCCTGGGATGGATGTGTAATGATATGGACGAGATTGGATTTGGATCTACATGTGGACATGACTGGGATTGGGACTTGGAGACTCACGATCATTTATCGGATAATAAAATTTATTTCACGCGAACATTTGTGTTCTTAGCGGATGATGTGATAACAACGTATACTCAACGTCTTGGTCTGTTCATGGTGATTGAGAGGGCGAGCAGTTAACATCTAGGTCTATTGCCTTTTCTCCTGCTCTAGACATTCTGCTGCCTTCGAAGTGCGAGATATCACAGCACATAGCAAATAGAGCGGACAATTGCAAGACTTATTACCAGCACCAAGACGGAATCACAGGCACCCAAATCGATCCTCATGCGATTCTAAAAGATATCGGATTGCGCAAACTAACTACTAAGTCCCTTACTCAGAACGCCGCTTCCCAGAAGCCGAACCTTTGCAATGCATACTAAGCCCACACAAATAGTGTCGTTAAATAAAGGCGTTGAATCTATAGCACGTATAGAGAGTGAGAGAACGCGTCTGACGCCTCCCAACAAGGAAACAGACCCCTGGGTATCCATAGTCTCTCCTGCCAGTCCTCCACTCACTTAATCATCATCACTACGCCACCGGGTGAACAATTTAGGAAAGATGGAAGGCGCCTTGGCCTTCGCGGATGGCTACGCTGAGCTTCTCCCGTAGGATGTCGACGGTGCTGTAGTCGGGCATCTTGAGGTAGTTGACGCATGTCATGACGGAAGGGAGGTAGTCATCGGATGAGTAGGGTGGCTCGCTGGGCTTGCAAACGACCGTGAACATTGGTGTGAGAGCCTTGAAGCCTGAAGATGGGTTAACAAGCAGGATTGGGTGAACAGCGAACGATAAATCTTACCTCCAATTGGTAGCTTGGGGCTGCCGGTGATGAACTGCAAGAAGTCCCTACGCTCCTGCGCATCGAATTCGCTCATGGTGGCAAGCAGGTTGCGTACGCTCTTGCTGTCGAGGTTGTAGCCGTGGTCTGCTTTGATAGAGTCCATAAGAGCTGTGGTATGATTAGTAACAGTGCTGAAGTGGTGGATGGTTCGAAACTTACTCTCAAGCGACCAATCCTCATCTGTCCGACCGAATAACATCACCAACTCATCGGGGGTGAATGCCTTGAGAGCAGAGTACGGGAACACTTCTGTGAAGCCTGCGCGGAAGGCATCCGCCTGTCGCTGAACACCAGAGCCGAGGGTGAAGTCGATGACCTTCTCTACATACGTGTCGACATTCTCGATCGTGACGGACGTATCCGCACCGTTCGGAATAAGCTCGATTGAACCATAACCAGGAAGTGTAAAGTCGAGAGCTAGGTCTTCCACACGGCAATCTTGAATGACAATATCGTTAAGAGCCGCCGCTTTTGCTGCTGCGCTCAGATTATCGTTGTCAACCTTCTTCTTTGCATCGGCGAATTGCTTGAGCAGAACCAGAGACTTGGCCAGGTCTTCATCGACCGCTTTGATCGCTCCAAGAGATGGTGCCACTGCTGCACTGGAACCGTCACTGATGCGGAAGAATGTTGGGTTGAAGGACACGTCGATGATGCGAGAGTCCAGCATGGAGCGAGCGACAAACTTGCCCAGAATCTTGAACAGCTCGAGACGCTTCTCTCCATTCTCAGTGCTTGCTTCTTCGGTGCTCATGGGAGCGGGGTAGAGTCCTCGCTTGCCGAAAGCATATTCGTCCTGATCGCTGGACTCATTCTCTCGCCAAAGCTTCAGCTTCTTCTTTGAGAACTCGCGGGATACGGTGGAGTAGAATTCCAACGTCGGTCCCAAACCAGTTCCAACTTCCTCAAAGTACTCGACCTCCAGGACACTAGCCGAATGACCATACAGTTGCATGACTTTCATGGCGGACTCCAAGATTCGGGACCTAGAAATGCGAACCTTCTGGCGTTGAAGTCTACCTAGGAACGGCCGCTCATCCCTATGACGGCTGTCTCGTGAGTCGCTTGTGGGCTGCGAGTTCTGCCATCGCGTCATCGACCTAGAGTAGCCGAACGAGGTAGACTGTAGGAAGAGGTGGCGTGTCTCGAACGGGAAAAGGAATGGATAGAACCGAGCCAGATCCTCGCTCCAACTAGGAAGGCAGTTGCTAGCTACAACGAGAGGCTCTTCTAACTGACGGTTGAGTTTGGCTGTGAGCTTCGTGTTCACGAATTGCGAAAGCGGCTCAGCATTCAGTTTGACCTGTTCCTTATTCGCCAGTAGGATGTCGTCAAGGTGCGTGTTCAGCCCGTGAAGTATGCTGAGTAATCGCAAAATACCAGATGTCACAGGGTGTTGATCAAGTGAGGCCGGCATACCCGAAACGTCCGAACGCGACTCTGGCGGTGGTGTCAAGGAGCTAGGCTCGCTTGGTGGAGGGCCCTGCACCCGCTTGAACTTGATGGTATGGATACCATTCCAAACCGAGCGATGTGATCCGTCCGCTGGTTGCGCCTGGCTAAAGTGCACAGCGCGGTAGATTGTTGTCTCATTTGAGAGTGGCTGGTCGTTCACGCTGAATTCGATATGCCAGTCTTGAGGGGTCGATTGTACAGCGCCAGCATATGACAGAGCGCCCACCCCACCTAGAGTCTGACGCATGGCAGCCGAGCTCTGTAGCAAGGCAGACAGACGCGACGTTGGAGTTCGGGTTTCGGAAGGTGGCTTCGCCAGCGGTGTGTTTTGTACGGGTGTAGCAATCCGCGTGCCGTCCTCCTCACGAGCCGTGGCTTGCCCCGTCGATGCGACTTCGACACTGACAGCCGATGGATCTGGCATATCCTCATCCAGCTCATCTTCAAGATCATCGACGATGGCATTCAAGGCGCTCTCGTCATCCATGGAGTCTTGGTCGGAGAGCTGCGCCTCATCAGCACATTCAACTTGATCTTGGCTGCTGTTCGAGTGAGGCTTGGCTGGAGGTGGTGGCGGGGGTGGAGGAAGCTGCGCCTGTTGACGCCTACTCGATCGACGAGACTTCTCTCGTGTGGCGGAGCTCGGTCCTGGCTGGGATGCGTCGGTTGGGGCTGCCTTGGATCGCGAAGACTTCTTTGAAGCCCGGTGTGACGAATCTGAAGGGGTGTGGGGTGGTGGCGGCGCGCGTCCTTCCGAAACAGCTTGAGCATACATGGCCTCAAATTGATCCCGAGATGGGAACTGATCGCGAGTTTTAGCCGGGCGTGGCCTATCTGCCAGGCTGATGCGGGGTCGAAGGTAGTCGTCCAGGGCTTTGAATGTAGCAATGGCGTGAATAGACACCATGATATTGCGGTACGTCTTAGGAATTCCTGAATCGTCATCGGCGACAAGCTTCAGCCTCAATTGCTTAGCCAGCATGGAAGTTGCGCTTCCTCGGCTGTCGTACATATTTTGATGAACAGTAATCACGTCGAAGTGTTCAGACCTGCTCAGCAGATCTTGCAGCTTATGGACCAATACGCTGAAAGGCGTAGCTGGAGACGCAGTGCTCGCGGTCTTGATCTTGCTCTGGCCGTTACCTCCCATGAAGGCTTCCAAGAAGATAGGCCTAGGGTCGACCTTCTTGTCAGACGTAGACATCGAGAACAGCTCCAAGAGCACTTCCACAATCTTCGATGTCTTGAGCTCGTAGCTTGTGATGCTTTCTAACGCATCGCCTTCAAAGTAAGATGCCAGTCTAGTGAACAAGCTCATACAGTCCCTTGTGGCACCATCAGCAACGCACGTCTTAATTTCACCTGCAAGCGATTTCAAGTCCTCCAGGACCGCAGACGCCTTTTCGCGTATAGGATTATTAGATTCCTTCTCGTGAACGTCGATGAACTTTTTAGCACGGAGCGTGATGATGTCTTCGACGTCAGGCATCGGTAATGGCTCCCGCTGGTCAGAGGACGACGAAGAGTCTGACTCGTCATCCTCGTCTCGGTTCTGGCTGCTTTCATTTGGTTCATCGTCAGGATCCACGTCCTCGCCATCGTCGGACTGCATTTCCACGTCGACACCGTCGCTCGACTGGGCAGGTTCCCGCTCAGCGTCTTGTTCGGCAGTAGAGACGGTGCTAGCACCTGAGTCAGCTGCAGCCTCTGTCTCTACTGCTGACTTAGGATCCTTGGCCTTGGTTTCCAAAGATTTGCAGGGACGGTTCGCCAACTGTGAGATCTCGGATATGACACCTTCGCGATAGAATTGGTACCGGTAGATGGGCTCCAGCCGCTTGAGCAATAGCTCGGCAGCCTGTAACGCGTATGTGACCAAAGATGGGTGGTCCTGCTGCGTAAAGATCGATGCTAGATGCGAAGCATAGGGTACCGGCCGTAGAGCTTCCTCTAGGATATCGGTGTCCAGATTTGACAACATCTTGAGATGAGCGGTAAGCACTTTCTGGCGTACGCTGAGGTTGACAGTACTTGAATAAGCGTCTGTCAGAGTAGGCAGAAGGATCACGGCGAAGCGCTTAACCTCTGCCTTGCAATCTTCCAACAGCTCGACGCGTTTCTCATTGGTGGTCTTCTTGTTAGTGGAAGAGAGTGGAAGAAGGTCGTCGCCTGGGTAGCCGGCATCGAAGAGATCGTCAAGGTACATCAGGCCCTCGGTCGGGACATCGGGCAGCAGTTCGCAGATAACATTCAACGTCTCGAACACCTGATCTTTGGGCCGGTGAATCAAGGCTTGCATGATGACGACAGAGTCAATTTTAGCTGCGACGTCCTCAGTGCCACTAGGAGGTGAAACACCAGTTAGGATCTGGTACAGAGTATCGACCACGTTCATCTTCAACAGCTCAGCTGACAGACGCGGGCTTGCCTTGGCGGTGTACGCCAGAACCTGCAGGAACATAGTGTGGATGCTAGGTCCAATGAGATTGGTGCTGCCCGGGAGCAGAAGTCGCAGGATAGCTTTGAGAAGACCTGGGCTGACC